GGCTCGGGACTCCAGGGGCCTTCCAAGCGGATCCCTGCCACTGTCATCCAATAGCTCCAGCATGTTTGCAGTGGGAATTGGGTTGGGGCTGCAGTGGGGGTGTCCTGTGGCTTGCGTGACCCCTCCATGCTTTCCGGCCCAGCACTGGGTTACTGCAGAGGCCTAAAGAGTCAGGAAGACACCAGTAAAAGTCTCCTTGTGGCCTGCCCCAGGGTTAGAGAACCAGACAAGCAGAAAGCAGCGGAGCCTCCTTTCCAGCCCCACTAGTAGCTCGGGATGTTCCCAATATGGTGCTAGCCACTGCGGGCAGGGGCAGGGAGACACCGGAGCTTGAAAGACCTGGTGGGGCTGGCTGAGAGCAATGCCCTTGGGGTCTAAATTCGGTGCAAGAAAAGAACCCATTTCCCCCCCCAGCCCGTCCCCACTATCTAATCCATCTCTCGATCCTTCCAGTCTGCACAGGCTGGCAGATGGGAACCAGTACGTTTTCAAGGAGGAAAATGAATCAGGCCTCAGGTTGAGTAACCTCTGGCGTCACGAGTAACTGGAGAGGGACATTTTGCCGTTGAATTCCCAATGTTAGCTGTGCGTCCCCTATGGCTTGCCTTGATGTGTACGAACCAAGGCACCCGGAGAAGCTCGAGGCCGTTTGAACCATCGGCTCTTGATGTGGTATCTGGTAGCAACCCCGAAGCTGCTGGGGTGAGGGGTGGAAGACATTCTTACCGGCAGGCCAGCGGAGACCTGGCTGCTTGTCTCCCACCCACCTTTCCCTGCACTGGCACTGGGGTCCAGCCTAGCCCCAACTGTAATTACGATGTATTTTTTTAATTGTAGATTTCTTTTCCTCCTTTTAAATATTCCTGACGTGGATCTGTACAGAGAACAAAGAGATCTATATTTTCAGTTGCAGCTTTTGTACATAGACAATTCCAAAGACTTCCCCGTTTTCTGTACTGACATGAGGATGAGATGAAGGTTGTGTGGCCCCCGCTGTGGGGAGCAGCACATCGCCCATTGCACAATTTATTTATGTATTTAAATGTATCCTGTTGAGTTTGTCGCCTTTCCCAGCAAACCTCACTGCTGCCCCGTGAGCGTCCAGCCCAGCCAGGGGTCTCGCTAAACCCCCCTCACCGACGTACTGCTGGTTCCATCTGCTTTTTGTTTAGCTGGACGGGCACGTGAGTCATGAGCTCTTCGAAGACAAGGGACGCATGGGCATTTGGAAAGGTTTAATATGTAGCACTTGTTGGCACCTTTTCTTTTTGTTCAGTAAGCGTTCCACCACCAAGTGTTAAAGCATGGCCATTTCCCTGTGGGAGGAGGGGCTGGTGCCTGAGTGGGAACTGAGGTGGCAGCGTGCGGCTTTCTACTTCCCACCTCCATGTATCCTGGCCGTAAGCAGTGTTTCAATGCAATAAAAGCTGCCCATCTCAACAGCTCAGCCCAGCATTCTCCAAGCAGGCTTCACCACACTGGTCGCTTCTCCTCTCTGCCTCTTTTGAAGCCCGGGTGATGCTCTTCCAGCTCTTCGTTCAAGAGCCATTCGCTGGAGAAGGCTGAGTGAATGCCCTTCCAGCTAGCTCCCGGAGTGCTGTTCTTACTGCCTAAAGATCTCCAAGCACCAGGCCCAAGCGTGGGTAAGCCCAGAGGGAGCTCTCCGCACCTGCTCTGTTTGCAGTTCTCGGGTCGGAGAAGCACTAGGGCCAGGATCTGCTGTTGGGAAGAGGCGGGGGCTCTGAAAGCACCTTTCCTCCCTCTGCGTTTGATCTCCCCAGTACCGATCCGGAGAGGGGCTAGGACCAGACCTGCTACCCCGTATACATTTCAGTAGGAACATAACTGTTTTCTCTTTTTAAGTCCCAAGGCCTGGTGGGAAGGGGACCAGCCCCAGCTATTCTCTCTTAACATCCATCCCTAACCATCTCTCTTCTGTGTTGTCCTCCACTGCCAACAGCTGAGAGTCTGTCAGCAGGCCCCAAGATAAGCAGCTGACAGAGCGTCCCAGCTCCCTTGGCAAACACAGCAGCTCCGCTCTCCTCTCTTGGGCAGACAGGTACTTTCAGTGTTACCTGGAGGTGGGGTCTGTCGATACAGGCCTGGGCATGTGAAGGCTACGGGTTGCAGTGGCTGTTTTAAAGTTTTGTACATATGATAAGCTGTTTCGGGGGCAAGGGGGCGTCTTTTGATACTACTGTCCGAAATCCCTTCGTGGTTTGTTTTAGTTTTTTTTATAAACTCTCACAGGCGGGAAACATTTTCTCTATATGCACCGTTTGAAAAGAGACGGCTCTCTGTGGCTTATTTATTCTGTCCGTTTGATATCCAGCTGTTTATCTACTCGGAAGAGTCCTGTATATGCAAACTACCTTTTAAATAAAGTTCTGGGGTGGGGGGGGAAAAAGCCTCCCGTCCTTGTGTGCATCCCACTTGGAATTCAGCAAAGTTGATCACCTCCTAGCCAGGGAATGGGCAGGTGCTGCCCATTTTACAGATGGAAAAACTGAGGCACAAACACCCATGAGTGCAAGAAGGTTCTGAACCCCCAGCCTTGGACTTGGGGCACTGTCTCCTGGTTACACACCTTGCTGAAGGCAAGGTACCTGTGCAGGGGGGCTCAGAGGTGAAGGCGGCTACGTCACATCGTCACTGCCCCGAGGTAATCACCTGACTTTGGCAAAGTTCTTTCGTTCCTGTCAGAGCCGCGGTAAACCTCGGCTTGTCTGCTGGAGACCCCCTTCTTGCTGCCCCAGGACACAGACTCACTGGTGTAGGAGGCAGCATCTTTATTCTCTACGTTAGGGTGCAGCGGGGGCTTTGCCCTGCAGTCAGCAGTGGTCCTGCTGTGGCCCAGCCCGCAGGCTCCAGCAGGGCCCATGCTCCTCTCAAACCCCTTGCTGAGGCCGTGACTTCAGCCCTAGGAGGACGAGGACCTAGGGCTTTGCTACTTAGCTGTGGTGTCCAGCCATAGCTGCAGGGCGAACTTGGTGCCAGTGCTGACCCGCTCCACATCCTCGCCGTGGGCTGGCGCTGTGTTCAGCAGCGTGGCAGTTGGCAGCTCCGTGGCCTGCGCCTGGCCCCCACTCAGCTCCGTCACCCTGCAAGAGGGGCAGTGGCAGGGTGGCTTCCCCAGGCACTGGAAGCCAGCCCAGCTGCAGGGCTCGAGGAAGGCCTCCAGGCTCCATGGCCCAGAGTTCAGCTCCAGCCCTGCTCTCCCCAGGGCTCTTGCCCAGCATCTCCTCCCTGCAGGCTGGAAGGGGGTTGCTTTCAGGCCTGGCCTGGCCCTGAGCTTCTTGCTGCCTCTACACAGGATCATATCTGGGCCAACCTCTTCAGGAGATCCTGCACAAGGGGCACCTGCCTCCTCCCCAGAGCTGGCTGGATCTTGGGCAGGAGGTCAGACAAAGTCTGTCCCTCCCCTCAGTGGGGATGGGCAAGACCCCTGCTTACCTGACAGTAGCTGGGAGGTGGCTGGGCACCTGCCCCAAGCTCTCTGCCACATCCCCAGCTGCCACGATGGACTCCAGGACTGGGGGCTCCAGCCAGGCATAGGCGCTTACCTCGCTCTCATCAGGCTGCATCCTTGCCTGCAGGCCGTGGACAGGGCTGGGCTAAGACAGTTGCCAGCTTTGCGGCAGGGAGACCAGCCCCCTCCCCTCCCCACAGGCACTGGGGCTTCCTCAGGGATCAGCACTATTGGATCCGGGCTGTGCGTGGTGGAGTTGGATCCCTGGGGGAGCTCAGACTCACCTCCAGCTGCTGATGGGTCTCCTTGGCCAGCAGCAGCAAGTAGGCTACGATGTGGTGGCGGCAAGGCAGCCCCCGGCTCAGCCGAGGCGGGAACACGGACTGCGGGGATGGAGTGTGGGAGCGGGAGGCAGCCGGGACCTGCACAGGGCTGCTGCCTGTGGCTCGGCTCGGCTCAGCCAGGGAGAGGCAGGCCCCCCACGGTGTGCCTGGTGCTGGCTGAGACAGCCCCGGTTTGTAGGTCCCTTTTGAGCCCGACACCCACCACCCCTGCTCCAGTGTTACCTCCCACAGGCCCAGCATCCTCCAGGACACTGCACCCGGCTCCAGCCGCAAGCCTGTCTCCTCCTGCAGCTCGCGTAGTCCCACTTCCAGCAGCTGCACCCGAGACCACAAACAGGCAAAGATCATGGTCTGAGATAGTCCCACCAGAGCCTGGATGCAGGAGGTCCCTATGGCACCTTGGACCCCCAGGCACAGAATGGAGCCACCCTGCAGGATACGCTGGCGCAGGGGGGGAAACCGAGGCAGGGCAGGGACTTCTCCATGGCCAAGTACACATGTGGCAGCATCAGGCTTGGGATGGGTTGAGACCCCTCCTGTTCACCTCCCCAGTGTCCCCCCTCACCTGTTCGTCTGGCTCCACGTGCCCACCTGTGAGGAGAGGGAGATGTCAGGTGAATGGGAGAGCAGTGTGCACAGACAGCTTGGTCCAGTGCCCTGGAGCTGCGTCAAGCTGCTGGTTCAGGTTTATCTTGGCAAAATGGACATGGCCCCTAGGGAGGAAAGGGGCCAATGGAGACCCCCCAAGACGTGACATGTCCAATGGGTAAGGTCAGTGGCGGAGCCAAGGGCAGAACCCAGGAGACTTGCTGTGCGGCTGCTACGGGCTGGTCCCTTGCCCCCACTTGGGGCAGAAACCAGAAGTCTGACCTCTTGGCTGCTGCCTACCCAGGTTCCTTTCTGGGAGCTTAACTAGGCCCTGCTCATTAATGTGCAGTAATTAAGCATCATTCCATTAAGCTAACAAAGGCTGAACTGCTCCATCCTGCTTCTATCCTCCAAGACTCCCCATCTTCCCCTGAGATCGTGTGCCTCCCCCACCTTCTCTCACCTGGCGGGACCCAGATGTTGGGGAAGATGCTGAGGCCAGGCGCCCTCCGTGTCAGCAGGACCCGCCTGTCGCTAGTCTGCAGCAGCACGGCTACCCCCACATCCACACCACGGCCCCGCAGCTCAGCGGGCAGCGTGGCCGTCTGTGGCTCGGCCAGGAGCTTCATGGGGCAGAAGGGTGGGCGCTGCCGGGGCAACAGCCAAGGTGCGTGGTCAGGGCCTGGGATTGGGCCCACGGTGCCCCTCATTCCCATCCCCACCCCTGGACTTCCTGCCCTTCTGGCAGCTCAGAATGCAGCTGCCTCTGGGGTGGAGGTTGATGGTGGCTAGGAGGGCTTGGCGTAGGGGCTGCCCTTGGTTACCCCCAGCTTGGAGCCTTTCTGCCCTCCAGGGCCGTTGGGGGACCTCGGCATGGATGTGCAGCGCCTTGTGCCTGGGGATGTCCGAGGGCTGTGGCAAGGCCAAGCTCCCAGCCCCTCTTGGAGGCGGTGGGGGAACAGGTCATCACGCCAGTGTGGAAGCTGAGGCTGAGCGGGAAATGCAACCCTGGCATCCTGGCAGCCAGGCTCTGGCTCCTTGTAGGGTGTTGGGGAGAAGCCAGGCATCCTAGTTCCCAGCCCCATGCCAGTCTTGGCCTGCACTGACCTGCAGGAGGACGCTGGTGGAGCCCGGGAAGCTGTGGTCAGCGAGGACGAGGCGGCCGCAGTCCAGCCCGGCACTGACCAGGGCCGTGTCTTCGTGCGGGGCACAAAAGTGCCCAGTGACGCTCTGCAGGGTGAAGGGCAACATGAGGGCACGGGGCAAGGCTCTGCCTTCCCTGCCCAGAGCCGGGTGGTGGAGCCTGGTGCCACAGGGTCCCGCGAGGGTGGCCAGGTGGGGGCACAGGGTGGGCAGAGCCAGGTGGGCGAACCATTGCAGCAGGGGGCCTTCCCCCCTGCTTTTCCTCCTTCCCTCACCCCCACCCCCTCCCATGTAAACATACCCACAGGTCCCACACGTGCACACATACATGTACACGTGTGTGCACATGGGCTCCCCTACATCATGCATACATACATGTGCTCACATACAACCCCAACATTTGCACATCTACGTGTACACCCCCCATGCACACAGCCCCCCCCATGCACGCGCGCACACACGTTTCCTCCATGCATGCGTACACACGCCCCCCCTGCAGCCCTTTGCCCCCCACCTGTAGGAAGGCGGCCCGTTGGGGCCGGGCACCACCCCGGGACAGATGCACCAGGACCCGCGCAGCGCCCTCCATGCCTGGACCGGGAGGTGGGGGCCAGGCCTGGGAGGCCTTGGGCGGAGCTGGCAGAGCGCAGCACAGAGCAGTGCCCCTGCTGGCAGCCGGGCCCGACTGCAGTCAACCCCCCCCCACCCTGCCCAAGGCTGGCAGATGAGATCCCTTGGGCCAGGCCCAGGCCCAGGCCCAGCCTCAGTCTGCCCTGGGACAGGTGCTGGAGCCTGCGCTGCCCGGGTCCTGCTAGCACCAGGCAGGGGGGTTCATAGAGTTGGAAGGGACTGCAGGAGGTACATCCCAGCCAGGCCCATTTCACCTCCCCTCCCACCCCGGCCCACGGCTGCGGCGCCCCCATAACCACCTGGGCGATGCAGGGGGCAGGGGTTTTATTGTCCATAGAACAAACACCAGGCCAAGCAAAATGGAGCCATAAAAGCCTGCCAGCCTGATGGGAGGCTGGGGGAGCTGAGGCTGGGGCAGGAGGGCAGCAGTTGGCTCAAGGCTTCTTCGCAGCCGCAACCACGGTGCTGTCCACATAGGATGCCAGCAGGAAGATGGTCTCGTCTACTTGGTTCTCGCTGGCGTCAATCCTGGGAGGGGAAGAGGAGGAGGTTGTGACTCCAGGATGAGGGGCACAGAGGGGCTGGCAGCCCTGAAATGGACCCAGGAGTCCTGACTGCCCCCTGCTCTGCTCCTGGTCAGTCAGAAGCCTTGGGACCCCCCACCCCAGTGCTCACTTGTTGACTGTGTGTTTCAGGCTCTCCAGCTGCTGCCGCTCGGGGGCTGTGATCATCTCCTCGATCTCCTGCAGCTGCACCTCCTCAGCGCCTGTGGCCTGCATGGAGGCCAGGATAGCCTCCACCCGCTGGGACTTCTCCAGCAGGCGCCTGGGGGGAGCAGCGAAGGCGGTGAGCACTGAGTGACAGCCAGATGTGTGGAGCAGACAGATGTTGCACTTAGACCCCCAAGGCTCCCTCTCTTCTCCCGTCATAATACCCAACCCCCTTTTCAGCCTGTTAGCCCTGGCTTCCCTCATCCTATCACCCCACAGGCAGGGGCTATGCTGTGGTCATTGGTCTTGCTTAAGCTTCCCAGGGGTTGCAGCAGGAGCCCTGTGCCCCCAGCCCTGGAGCTCCAGGCACTCACTTGTTCTCTCTGGTCTCGTACTGGCGCCTCTCGATCAGGTTGGCCACACTCTGGGCAAAAGAAAGGGAAAGCAGGGTTGGGAGGGGACACGAGAGGTAGGGCCTGTCACCCAGCTAGGCACTGCCAGCTTTGAGCTGGGGTAACACATGAAGGATGGTGTGGTCTGCTCACGCTTGACAAAGATGGGAGAGCTTGGGCCCCTTGAAGCCAGGGTGTGGGCAGGAAGAGGAGCAGGAGGGGCCTGGCTTGTCTGCCCCGCACAGAGCAGCACAGCAGCCATGAGAGCTCCCTCCCAAGAGCAGGGTGCATGGGGCTGCCTTTGAGGCCAGGTAGGAACCCAGCTGTGTCTGAGCCACTTGGCGCCGCTGGAGAGCTCCTGGTGCTTGTATCTAAGGGCATTAGTCTGCTCCTCAAATATGAGCCTTTGCTGTTCTAGTCCCCCGTCAATCACTAAATCGGAGCAGGATGAAGCTATTAGGATCCCAACTGCTGTGGGAGACAAAGGGACATGAGGGACGCAGACGCTTCTGCAGTACAGCAGCTCCCTCCCAAGAGCAGGGTGCATGGGGCTGCCTTTGAGGCCAGGTAGGAACCCAGCTGTGTCTGAGCCACTTGGCGCCGCTGGAGAGCTCCTGGTGCTTGTATCTAAGGGCATTAGTCTGCTCCTCAAATATGAGCCTTTGCTGTTCTAGTCCCCCGTCAATCACTAAATCGGAGCAGGATGAAGCTATTAGGATCCCAACTGCTGTGGGAGACAAAGGGACATGAGGGACGCAGACGCTTCTGCAGTACAGCAGGTAACCTCAAGCAGGGAGTGGGTAAGAGCCCACAGTACCTTGTAGCAGCGGTGCAGCAGCATCCGGGTGGAGGCCAGGACATTCACTGTGTAGAGGTAGAAGGTGCGGGAAGGAGCATGATCTGGAGTCTTGGGGATTTCCTATCAGAAGGGAACAGCAGTTGCTGACAGCAAGTCCCCTTGGAGGGGGGTTGTCTGTGCCCCCTAGGCTGGTTCAATGGTCCCAGCTGTTTGCACAGTGGCTGGAGGTCTGGATCCCCTCACCCTTACCCCAGTCCCTCACTGCAAGCCCTCAAGCAATCGCTCCCCACACCTTGCAGCTCAGTTTTGCCAGCTCTAGGAGTCAGGGCGTGCGAGCCACCTGCCTTGGGGTGGCAGCAAGGGGTGTTGGGTTCGGGAGAAAAAGCAGGGCTGGGCCTGGTGGCTGGGAAAGGAGCCATCCCGAGATCTCCTCGTGTTCTCCAGAAGGTGCCTGGGAGGCAGGGGACCCACTGGATCCATTTCACAGGCATGGAGAAACTGAGGAAGACAGACTATGGATCCCAATCTCTAAACTGGTCATTCTACTACGGATCTTGAGACGGAAGGGTGGAGTCTGTGAATCCTACTCCAGCTGCCAGCGCACCCTCCCACAGCATGGATCAGGACGGAACCAGCCCTCCTGACTTCCAGTCCAGTCACCTGCAAGGACACAAAGTTCTCTGACAACATCTTGTACAGCATGTCCTTGGCCTCCTTGGCTGGGATCATGGCAAAGTCTTCCACCTGCTTCTGCTCCAGATGCTTCTTCCGCAGCAGAAGCCGGAAGATCCTGGCACAGCGCGAACCAAATCTGTAATGGAACAGACACCTGAGCAGACATATGAGTGAGGAGCCTAGAGGAGGTAAAAAGGTTCCTAGACAAAAGCTGCAGAGCAGAAAAAGGGCCCTTGTGCATCTGGGAGACAGAACTACCAGCAGATCAGACTGGGGCCATTAAGAGTCCTAGGTCTCTGGTGAACAAGGAACCGCTATGTTTTCAGCTAGCAGGATTCAGGTCCCCAGTTCATGAAGAATGTAGCCAGACAACCAGTAGAGGCAGAGACTGAGCATCTCATCACAGCTAATGCTGCCTTCTGGACTTCCTGAATGGTACTCCTGAATACATAAGGAGGAGCGAATGATTTCAGTCTCTGACGACTTCATTCGGAGCTTGATTCAGGTTAACAATGGCCATTCAAACCAAGGATGGAGACCAGAGGAGATACAAGTATATCCATGCCTCAATGGCAGGCTAAGGGAATTAGCAAGGTATGTCCAAACCATCCCGTTACCTCTCCTGAACTATGGATTCCAATGTGGCGGTTGCCAGACTCGCCAGGGCCTTGTGAAGATCTGCATGGAGTATGTCAAGGAAGAACACATATCACTGGGGACCACACCATACCAAGCCCCCAGATCACCAACCTTTGATAGCCAACTGGATGGATAAAGGATACTGACGACATACATGCCCCCGCCGCTGTCACCGGATTTCCCAATAAACTCCAGCTACAAAAGAAGACAGGAGAAAAAAAGATTAAACGTCTAAAAAGCTCGTTAGAATTTCAACTGAAAGAAAAAGTCACTTGGGGCAGGACGAAGGTTTTATTAAAAACAAAATTGCCAGTCCCGTGCATTAGAGAATTCTTCTGTTCAGTGCGTGGTTCTTCTATTCATTGCACTGTTCTCACTGAGTGAGGTGCAGAAACCAGGGTGGGATCCCACGCACTGAAGCAGGCAAGTAACTTCACTGTGCCAATTAGTCCAGTTGACTTCAATAATGCCCTCTCCTGTGGACAGGGTGGCCTGATGGGGCTGAAGGCAGGATTTGTGTCCAAAAACTAATGTAAAAAACCCATATTTGGGGTCAGGAAGGAACTTTCCCCCATGGTCAGACTGATGTGGACTGTGGGGGTTTTGCCTTCCTCTGTAGTGGGGGACGTGACCCTCTGCCTTGGATCTCTCAAGCATACTTTAACAACCTTTACAGCAGCAGGACATTGGCTACTGTGGTCCCCCTGCTTTACCTGCAGCAGGTTCAGGTGGTGTCCTTGTCTGTGTCACAGTTAACTGTGTAGTTTTACAAGTAGATTGAATAATGGATTGGTAGAGGATGATCTGGATAGGCATGACTCTGCCTCAGGCAGGGGTTGGACTCAGACAAGCTCCAGAGGTGCCTGCCAGCCCTGTTTTTCTGTGATTCCATGAAATAATAATGGCAGCGCGTTCCTTACCGGGTCATCTGCCAGCAGCGTGAGATACTGATCCAAAACCTGCTTCCCAATGTTGTATCCCGCTGGAAGCGATCTGAAGATCTGCAGAACAAGAGAGCGCCCAGAACACCTGCACCATTAGCCTTCAGGATATTAGGAGTTAGCGGTGTCTCACTGGGCTCCCAGATCAAATGTTAGTGCCCTGAGCTTGGGACACTGTTCCCAGCAACCTCTGTCCCCATTTTACTGAAGGAAAGGCTGTGTGACCCAGGGCAGTGAGCTGGTAGCAGACCCAGGAGTCCTGACCCCAACACTTCTTTCTTAACAGCTAGGCAAAGGTCCATGGTGCGAGGCAACTGGGAAGACAGGGGCCCCAGATGTATGTGTCTGCATCCCAAGGACTATGCCAGACACTCACCTCGTTGGAAGACAGCGGCTGCGTATAGGCTGCGTTGGAGGATGTGGTGACTTCGCTCATCCTTAGCATCGTCCGCACTATTTCGCTGCTGGTCTGTGGGAGGGTGATGGGCTTTACTATTGATCGGACTGCACAAAGGGAAATGCAGCAACTACTTTCCTCCCCCAGAGCCACAAGGCTCCAAATCCAGTTGCCTCTTGCCCCCCAGCTCCCCCCGACCTTTCCTGGCACGGGACCACACTTCCAGCATTGGCCTGCTCTCTTCCAGCTGTATCTCCATGGGGCTTCTGATCTTGAGTCGTAACTGAGGGAATTGTGCCCTAGCAAAGGTTTGCATGCTTGAGCCTCCTGCTGCCTGGCCAAGTCTCAAGACACCTTCATCCCACCCAGCCAGTGAAATCAGTTGAGTGTAGAAGTGAAAGGCAGGTGATAAGAGCAGATGGGCTCAGGGAGAGCAGGACTGCAGTATTTGAGAAGCTCCCCACCAAATTCCTGCTACTTATGAACTGGATCAGGGCCCTTCATGTTTCTATCTGCAGCCACAGCCAAGGCCTGATGTTGA